CTAGCATTGTCCCAGGTCAAGCCAGTGATTCGGACAAGAACGTGATCATGGATGATGGCTTAGAGACGAATGGTAAAGGTGAGTTTATTGGTATTAGCTCTTTTGATACTAACGAAAAATCTCCACCCTCTATTTTGCAGACACCCGTCAAGGAATTAAAGCCTTTGCCCGACCACGTCAAGTACCTATTCTTGGGAGAAGAGAACACATTTCAGGTGATCATTTCGAGTAAGCTTACCAAAACTCAAGAAGACGAGCTCGTGGAAGTTCTCCAGTCACACAAGCAAGCGTTGGGGTGGACCATCTCGGACATAAAGGGAATAAGCCCCTCAATTTGCACGCATCACATTTTATGGGAAATAGAAGCTGAACCTATTCATCAACCCCAACGCTGCTTGAATCCGGTGGTGTGGATGTCGTGAAAGCTGAGGTCCTGAAGCTTCTGGACATGAGTGCAAGCGGTGAGCATAGGAAACTACAATTTAAAGAATTGGAAGAGATGAGAAACGATGCCTATGAGAGCACTAAGATCTACAAAGAGAAGACGAAGGCTTTTCATGATAAGATGATTTCGAGAAAGCAATTCGTATTTGGGCAAAAAGTTCTTTTGTACCAATCCCGTCTTCGATTGTTCCCAGAAAAGCTACGAACAAGATGGGAAGGACCTTTTGAAGTCATCAAGGACTGTACGCATGGGGCAATTGAGATTCGGAGTCCGTCGAGCTTGAAGGCCTTTATAGTCAATGGACATCGACTTAAACCGTATCACGAGAACTTTCAGCCCGAGCATGAAGAAAGAATGGGTCTCGAGGACCCCGTTTATTCTGAATAAATCGAGAGCTTCGTGTCGAGCCAACGACGATAAAAAAAGGTGTTTTTTGGGAGGCAACCCAATTTTTATTTTTATTTCTATTTTGTTAGTTTTTGTTTTGTTATTTCTCTAGTATTGTTAAGAATTTGGATTGATTTTAAGGTGGAAACGATTTTTTTAAGGCATGGGCGAACCACGTACATGTTAAATGATAGTTTTTCTGAGCCGTGCCCACGCCTTAAGATAATTCGTTTCTGTTACTGATACTTTTCTTTCTGTTCTCTGGCAGGAATTTTGTTCGAACACTGGGACTGGTGGTGTTGGTGTTTAAATGACATGGCCATGTCATTATAGCCCTAGAACTTTTTCCACAGCATCCTGGACCTTGCCACAGAATAAGGAATCGTGAGAGTTTTACTGAGAGGTCTGACAGATTTTTGAGATTATTCATGCACAATGAGAGCCGCCACCTGAATAAAATTTTGTGAGTCTCTATGCCTAGCATTACTTCATATTATTGACGTGTGGTTAGGAGTGTTTGTCAGAGTTTTGAGGTTTGTTTCATGGTATTGAGTCTTGTTTATTGTTTCGCTTGTGGTCATTTTCAATTCATCTATGCCAATTCACTAGAACAACCTTCCTCTTGTGTCTGCACACTTGTTTTGTTTGAGCCCTTGGTGCTACATGATGATGAATATTACTTGATGATTGTGTGATGGACGACGTATGGGATTAACACTTAGTCATTACCCTCTTATTGGTGAGATTTGAGCGTATGAGTATATATTGAATATCTTGCTCCATTTTCTTGAATGTGTTATGTCTCGACTAGTTGATTTTTCTAAAACTTGTTTTGCTATGCATGTCTATGTGTACACCTTTGATGAAATTGAATGCATAAAATCTTAATAAGGATACTTAGGACTAGCCTTTTCTCTTTATAGCCTCTCTTTTGAAGCCTACTTTTTTTCATAAATCACTAATAAGCCCCTTTGAGCCTTAGACTTTTCTTTGATTTATAACCATGTTATAAGCTATAATATCCTTTTCTTGATGCCATCTTTTGAACCTTGAATCGAATCAATTACATGATTTTTTTTTGGATAAAGAAGGGCTTATGGTATTATGTACTTAGATGTGATCGTGCCTTGTGCGTAGTCTTGTTATCCGACGTAGGCTAGTTTATCTTCTATTTCGTATTAAAAAATATGTTGGCCGAATCTTGAGAATCGCATGATCATCTTGCATTGAGCTTGGTTTATGATGAGTTTGTGTGATTGGTTCGATTCCGTTAGCCTTTCTCCTTCTTATCCCACCTTACCCTAAGCCTCATTACAACCCGATTTAACCCTTTGATTTTGTGTTTAATTCTTATTCATTTTGGGTGGTTGGACATGATATCTTTGCAAGCTTATGGTAAAAATCTTCGATGTCTTGACTTGAGCGTACATTTACATATAGCCTATACACTTTGAGTGCAAGAGTGAATCTCGTGAGAAGTGTTGATTTCCATGTGTCTAAGTTACGTAATTGTAGGGTGTATTTCTCATTGGTTGGTTAATGGGGACTCGAGTTTGACTTGTGTGTTGATGCTTGCTTTATGTTTTGAATTGGCTTTGGATGATAGAAGATGACTGTGAGTTGAAATAATGGATTTTGACATTATGCTTGAGGACAACATCGTTTTAAGCGTGGGGGTGTTTGATAAGTAGAAAATATGTGTTTCTATTATAGTAAAATATTGAGTTTGTATTGGATATTTTTGCTTAAGTGACGTGTTTTCGACTTTATAATATGTCTTCAAGTAGAACCTACCATTGTTGATATTTTGGTACAGTTAGATCGTATGAGCTCGACTTGGTGCACATATAACCACATGGCAGCGCTGATATTTGTAGAACATGGCCATGTCAGTATACACGGAGGTGCACAGCGTATCAGTTCTTAACATGGGCCTGTTAACACTAAGCCCAATAGCAATATTAAAAGTCCAGCCATAATTAAGAGGAAGCAGATCAGATTTTGAAACCTAGACTGCACGGAACAGAAGAGCCACAAGGAGCAGAAGAAGATCACGCGATCATCAACCTTAAGAATTCTCACTTCTCTTTTCTCATTATTTCTCTTACTCTTTTGCTAGAATTTATGGAAGCCCTGCGCGGCTAATTCTCTTTTGCTTTGGTTGAACACGATTGAAACCCCGAACTTAATACTGTGAGATCTAATTCGTTTTTATCTATTAATTCATATTTCGTATTAATTGTTTTGTGTGTTTATGTTTATGATTTTGTGTTAGGATCGTAGCCTGATCAACTATTGTCTTGTGCACTTAATCTATTGCTTGGTAGATATTGAGTCGGATTTAGATAATTTATCTATCGTAAGAAGCATCTAAGTGTGGTGATTGACCGGATTTAGGCGTTATCATTCTTAGGCAAAATAGTTATACAAGTTAGCATCTAACGGATTAGCTTGCCTGGGCCAGAACCACGCATACAATATTCCAACCGTCGATTAAATTGGAAGAACAATAAAAAAAATTCTGGTTTTTTCATGAGTATATTTGTGAGAATTTAAAAGAAGAAGAAAAAAAGAGAGAAAAAAATGGAGAAAGTGATTGGAGAAAGGAGGAAACTGGTTATTTGCAGAGAGAAGAAAGAAACGTGTAAAATAAAAAGAAAGAAGAGAGAGAGAGAAAAAATTAAAAATTAACTGCAAAAAAAAAAAAAAAGCATATTACTGTAATTAGAAACGTATAAGGCTATGTTTGGTAAACCAAATAAGATAACTTATAGCTTATTTGTTAGCTTATAAGCTTCCTGTATTCAAATAAGCCTTGTTTGGTAGAACGAGCTTATTTAAAAAGCTCGAGCTTATTTGATAAGCTTTTTTAAGTAGCTTTTCAAATAAGCCAGTTGAATTTTTTATTCCAGCTAGCTTATCAGCTAATTTTACCAAACACTTTTATCATATAAACTAGCTTTTCAGCTATAGTCATAAGCTATAAGCTATAAGCTAAAAAATTACTGATAAGCTATAAGCTAGCTTATCAGCTAGTTTTACCAAACATAGCCTAAGTAGGAAACAAATATGCCCTATAAGGAAACAATGAAATGGTATGATTAAAATGTAAACAAATTTTGAAAAAGTCCACAAAGTGTCTTTAAATCGCAAGAGGGCGGCTTTTGAGGCTCTTATGGGTCAGGTTTTTCAAGTACAAGGGCCGAAATATAAGGCTGGACAAGGCCGAAAATACTTTGATCCAAGCTTGGGAAAAATAGCTAGAAAAAGGCTCACAAGCAAGGCCACACTTGGACATAAACTTTGGAACGATTTTTGCTTAACAAATTGAGAAAAAAAAAATTAAGTAAATGAAGATATCTACATAAATTATTTAACTTATTAGGCTTAATTGAGCTTAACAAAAATGAATGATATGCAATGCAATGCACTCATTAAAAAAACAAAAAATAAAGACCAACAACTGAACTGCTTCTTATTAATCGAACGGGGCACTACAAGACCAAATTCATAATTGTTTGAACTGCTTCTTATTAATCGAACGGGACACTACAAGACCAAATTCATAATTGTTTGGCCCGCTTAAACACCACCTAATTGCCCACAAGCTAACGGCCCCTAGGCAAAAATTGAATGTGCATGTTTACAAATAAATCAGCTCAGAATGAGTTTTTTCGATTAAACAGGATTAATTTTGAAAAACTAGAATGGTTAGTTGTTAGTGAAATTTTGATTTTATATTAAAATAATATTTAAAATAAAATAATTAAAATTGATTTGATGTAAAAATAAACTATAAATGATGTGAAGTGATAAATAGTTAAAATTATGTGAGTGAATGAATAATGAATTAAAGTTAATGTGATGTATAAAAATAATTGATTTGTATTCTTTAATTATATAAATAATATTAAAAATAGTGAGATTAAATTAAAATGAAATTAGATTTTGAGTATGAATTGAATGTGAATAAATTATTTTGTAAACAAACATGCTTAACACCCCAATTTTTAGAACATTGCTATTTATTGGTTTTTATGGAACAGACTTCTAAGCCCACCTGAATATGAACGACATCCTTGACCTATTGATGCCGAAGCAAATGTCTGAATACAGATATTCACTACTTCTCATAATG